AGAACATAGATGAGGAGGAGAGAAAAATATCAAGAAAATCATATGAAACAATTTCCTAAAACCTGAAAAGGAAATTGATTTTCAGATTCAAAGAAATTTTACAAAACCCAATGCTTAGAAAAATGTTAATATAGGTTGGGTTGGGAAGATATAGAACTCTGCAAGGTAGGTATCTGAGGAAAAAGAAGATTCCAATCAACTATTAAGGAACTGATATGATGGAAAATTTTGAGGATATGATAAAGTACATTATTCTTTTATCAAGAAGGAAAATAAGTTAATGAGAAACAAAAATAATACTATATACAAACATCACAGGAAAGGTAAATGGGAGATTAACATAGCTTATATAGTGATCATCAAGATCATAATTGCAAAAAGAAGACATAGCTTAATTTCGAAAATTAGCAAAGCGTATAATTGACAACAACATCATTATGAAACACCAGAGGCCTGGTGCATGAAATTTGTGCATTGGGTGGGGGGCGGGGGGGGGGTGGTCCCTCAGGCTGGCCTGCACCCTCTCACAGTCTGGGAGCCCTCAGGGGATATCCGACTGATGGCTTAGGGCTTGCCAGCCCTGAGCCTTGCTTCTGGCTGAGTGGTGCATTGACCACTAGGGGGCAGCTCCTGCACTGAACGTCTGTCCCCTCATGGTCAGTGTGTGTCATAGTGATCGGTCATTCTGCTGTTCAGTCGATTTGCATATTAGCCTTTTATTATATAGGATGCTTAAGAAGAGAATTGTGAAACAGAGTAAATCCTCATCTTCCATTGTGGAAAGGCAGGGAGTATCTAAAGTTGATAAATCAGTCTGTAACAGACTTCCAGTTGAAACGGTAAATTAACCACATGTAATTATTTTCTTTCTCCCAGAGATTCCATTAAAATGTTGACAAAAAATAAAAAAAATTAACCTAAGATGACAGAGTATGGCAGAGGAAACTTCAGTAGAAAACAGGATTATTTGGAGTCTACATATAAGCACTAGACCCACCTCCCCAGTTTTCTCTAATAGAACCTAAATAAGTAAGGGTTTACCTTCCTCTGGCAGGTATTCAGAGGAATTCTCTAGAAAGCTCTAAAGCATCAAAGAAAAGACCTCTAAATTCTGCCATCTCTTGGTTACCCAATATGGGATGGTCACCCCCAGTCACCTAAAGTCGAGGTGTCCAGCCCACATACATACAGGCTTCCAAATCAGTGTTTTAATGACCCACTCTTTTTCTTTCTTTATTTCTTCCTTATGTAATCCTTGACACACAAAAGAATTTGGGATGTATATGTAAATTATGAAGCATAATAACTCGTGAAACTGCAAATTAAGAGCTAAAATAACAGTTGCTAAGATGTAAACACTGACTTTCTTTTCTATGTCTAGTCTATCTTTTTGACGCATTGTTTATCACAATCTTGGATTTTATATTCATCAGTCTTATGCATTTAAAAAAAAAAATTGGTGGTGACCTGCGTATCAGCAGTTAGATCTCATTGACTGCTAGCAACAGAAACTAATTCTGGCTACTAAAGCAAAGAAGGAATTTGTGAGGATGGTGTGGGCATCTAGTCTCCCTTCCCTGTTAGCCTCTGTTAGATTCTTCTTCTTGCCACCAGTAGAGTTGGAAGGAAGGCTAAAAGAGCCCAACTTGGAAAAAATGGTAAACAGGGCAAGACAGGAGTCTTCCCAGGGCAGCTCTGAATGAGCACCACACATTTCCAGGTCTTTAGTCATTCATTGCTCAAGGTTAAACTCCAGAGAGAGCAGCTGTTTGGCCCCTCTTTGGTGACAGGGCAAGCACTTTGATCATCAGGCCCTGTAGCCTCACCTGCCCTGGGTAGATGAAGAATACTGTTATCAGAACAAGGACAAATGGATGCTAAGTAAAAAAACAACAAAATAGCCAATATACTCAGAGACAGAGTTTTCCATGGATTCACTTTCTGACTCTTTCACTTACTAGTTGGGAAAAAAAATCACTTCACTTTATTGTATCTCGGTTTCCTTATCCTAATGAGATATGTAAAGGTAATCTACCTTAGGACACACCTGCCATATACTTTAGTGCTACATAAGTATTAATTCTCATTATTAAAAATATAATTTTTCAAATTCATTATCTATATATGGCCACTTTTCTAACTCTCTTTAATTTTTAACAGTTTTACAGTTTAATCTCATAAATTTTCTAAGTAGTGTATACAACCTGAAAATAATAGTAATAATTTTGGTTCTTCCTTTTCAATATTTATACTTTTTGTTTATTCTTCTTACTTTATATTGCATAAAATTTGCAAAGAGAAAAAAAACCAACGATGGTAGATGTCTTATTATTATCATAATGAGTATGTCCCTAGTATTACCTTATTATATATGGTTGTAGCTGATGGTTTTTGATCAGCATAAAAATGATATCCTGCCATTTGTAGAAAAAATATTTTATTTTTAATAAAAATTAAAGGTAACTTTTATCAATGTCTTTTTGTACATTTCCTGGGTAATTATAATAGTATTCCCCTTTAAAATACTAATATGAAGAGCTATGTTAATTTATTTCCAAATGTTGGTCTTACAATAAAAATTAGACTAGTGGGCTATATAACACTTCTAATCATAGCTAGACGTTTTTTAAACTAATGCATAGATCTAACCTAAGTTCATAAACTCCAATGTCATTTTGTTTATTTTCTATAAATGTTTTCATTGACTCTGAGCCATCGTCCTGCCAGGCTTGTGACTCCTTGAAGGCTCACCACACATCCTCCAGGCATCTGTCAAGGTTCCAGTGTTTAAGGAAGCACCACTGACTGACTGTCACACAGGTATAGTCAGGTCCCCACTAACCATCATCTTTTCTGAGCCAATGGCTCTCTGCTATTTCCATGTCTCTCTTGGGACTTCAGAACATTTGCAAGCTGAAAACATCAGGTCAATGGTCGTGTCTCTGTAGACACAGCTTGAATTTATTTCTCTCTGGACACTGCCAGCCTGCAGGAATTTATGATCTATTAATCCTACTGCCTGAGTTTGGAGCAACCTAAACATGACTTCCTCTTTCTGTAAAAGGAGCAAGGGGTTTGCTTCGGTTCCTTTCAATCAGTGCTGAAACATGTTTATAATCCATCATTTTAAAAGAACAGAGAAAGGGTACAAATTGAAAATGCTGTTTCCAAATTTAATCAGTTTAAATATTTATATCTTAACCCACCAATACTTTATTTAGAATTTTTGCACCCGTATTATAAAAAAAAGTTGTTCATATATTTATTAATCCCCACCTGAGGATATGATTTTATTGATATTTAGAGAGAGAGAGTGAGGGAGAGAGATACCTCCCAAATATGCCCTGACTGGGGGTCAAACCCACAATGTGGTTATGTGCCCTGACCAGGAATCAAACCCAAAACCTTTGGTGTATGGAATGATGCTCCAACCAACTGAGCCACCCAGCCAGGGCAGTTGGTCTAATTTTTCCTTGGTCTATCTTTGTCGGATTTTAATATCAATATACTAAATAAATTTGGAAGCTTTAAATCATTTCTATACTCTGGAGCACATTAACTAAAGTCAGAATTATTAACTAGAAACAGAATTATCTATTGCCTGAGATTTGATAGAACTTACCATCTGTACACAGACACTATTTCAGTGTAGATCTTTGACAGGTTTTAATATGTTTTATGATTCTTAGTCCCCAGATTTCATTTTTCTTACTCTTCTATTTCATGCAGCAATTTAATAAAATATGTAACCCTATTGGTATGTGGAAGCTAGTGGTCCCTTGTGACCTCCAGATCTTTCCTGATAGTTCATTATGGCTTCTCTACCAAGTTGTTTCTTCTTCCCTCTGATCTGCTGGCTTATGCAATTATCTACAGCTAATTAAATTGTTTTACGACTCCCATATATTTAGCCAAAATCGCCTTATTATTTCTTTTAATTATCCCTACCGCCACTTCCAATGCAATTTTCTGAATATTTATCCTTAAAAGAGAAAGTGGTAGGGCATACTTAGAGCTGAAGAACTGTATTTACAGCCCACATCAGAGAGCTGGAATTGGCAGTCCTACAGGAATTCCCTCTAAAACAATGCTGTGATTTAAATACAAATAGTGACATTAGTCAGCTGCAGATGGTTGCTAAATTTTTAAATAATGAAATATAGAATAATGAAAAACACTCAAGAATGAAACTAGGTATGAAGCCCAGAAATTGGTTGCTCTACTCTGAGTTCTAAAAATCCTATTAACTATTCCATTCTCCCACTTTATGAAATACTTATATAATAGAATTAAAGAGCTCACACAAACAAAAATGGAGAATTCTGCATGTATCCAGGAAGCAAACTGTAAAATTAAGTAATCTATGCATCTTTAGTATTCTTGATTTTCTTTAGGTGCCAAATTTCTCCTTATTTTAAGTTTAGGAATATGGTCTTATGTTGCTCAAATTCCTGGTATAGAAAACATTAACATTTATTTGTGGGAAAATTATTAGTTAAATGTAAATAATTATCTAAATAATAATGTGATATGAGTGACACATATATCTTTAAATTGGGCCATCTCTATATACAGATGCACAAAAGAATTGATGAAAATTTAAGATTTCTCTCCTTACAACAAAAACAAGGTGTGCACTGAGAAATGTGATTAAGATTTTGAAAAAATTGTCCATATAACCATGACTATTTCATTCAACCATTTAGGACCATGCTGCAAAGTGCCCTTTGCAAAAGCAACTGGCACCAATGCAGAAGGAATCAGACAGGGTTAAAACAAATTAAAACTGCACAATTCTGAGTTCTCAGCTATGTAACAGAGGGGAAGATGATAAACCCATGGTTGGTTGCCTTTGGTACTGGCTGCAGCAGTGGGGACCTTAGCTTGTTCCACTGCTCATTGTGTATTCACTAGAGACTGTGCTGACCACCACATTGAAGAGTCTGTGACAAAGTTTACCATTGAGCATGTGCAGTTCTGAGCCCTGTGAGGGTAAAGGAAAGCATTTCTGATTTTATCTGCAGCTGGTGGACAGTCTGCATGCGCGCACACAGTCCATTCCACCTCAATCGCCCTCTGTCTATCTCTGTTTTTCTTTTTCGGGCCTTTTTGTGTGTTCTTATTTTGTTTGGTTTTGTTATTAAGAAACAGACGCTCTTTTCAACCCATATACAGACACAGCTGAGAAATGCCGATGAGTTTGTGCTCCCAGAGACAGCCTCAGGCCCTGGGGGAAGGCAGTTGGTGGGTAAATGTCCTGTCTGCCCACCCTACCTGGTAAATACTAGGAGGCATCTCACAGCTGCAGCCTTAACCATGAACACTTTACTGGACTCATCTCTTTCTTTATCTGGCTTCTCCTGTTCCATCGCTTCTTATCCACTACCTGCAACCTAGCTCTTTTCTCTGTTTTAGAAAATCCAAACTAAGAAATTGATTTAAACTTTCTCTATAAAATTATCAATATTTTTCCATTCGGGATTAAATTACTTATCCCTCAGCCATTTCAGGCACAGAACTCTGTGGTGTAAGAATCCGAAGGCCTTTGTGTCAATTATATCTCAATAAAGCCGGGGGGGGGGGCAGATAATAAAAAAAAGATAAAGCTACTACAATTGTTATTTTTATATAATATCAAGAACATAGCTGTGCTGTCGAATACTGATGTGTTCTCTCCTCAAGGGCTTAACAAATAATCAAGGCAGTGCCAGTGGACAGCCGTAATCCTGAGTGCTGTCCATGAGAATGTGGGGTGCTTCCTGTAGCTGTTTTTGAGAGTAACATTTTATCATAAAAAACCTCTAAAGAGGCACTTTAAAAAAAAAAAGACTATTTGATGGCTTCAGAAGGATTTCAGAAGCGGATATGGGAGAGGGTGTTAAATGTGTGTCAGAAACTGAATGCCCTTTCCAGGAAGAAAATAAGAAAAACCACCTAGCAGTGGAACTGTGATAAGAAGGCAGAATAAGCATCACCAGAACTTGCTTTCACTTTTCACACCCATTTGTCAAAGCCTGCCTCCTCCAAGCTATTTTTTCTGGTTGAACAGCCAATACAGCCCATGACCCGCTCTTTCCACCTCTAATACATGACCCCTTTGTTGGTTTTCCAAACGCTTTCCTTGCCCTTCCCTGGGATCTATTTCCCATCCTCCTCCTGTTTGTCTGTTTGTTTGTTTGTAACACAGAGACCTGAGGGAATGCACACTCCCATCAGGAAAAGTGGTTCAATGTGAATGAGTGTGCAAGACAGAAGTTCTAGTGTCAACTGAATATCAACTAGGTATTTCTTCACCAAAAAGGATTCATTCCAGACAGAGAAAGGATTGCAACCCAACATGTGCAGACATGGCAAGCCTGGGGAGCCAAGATGAAGAGGTATTTAACTAAAGAAAGAGGAAGTTAGGGGAAGGGTAGGACTTTAATAGGCATAGAGTTCTTATATTGCTTACAAAATTTTCATAAGCCCTACCTCTTTCCACAGACCCTCAGGACCCATTGTGTTTTCATATTGTTCCAGTTAGTCCTTATTACAGAGCAATGCTGTTTGAACATGTGGTCTCCTTAACCCCAGCCAGTGATTGGGACATGCCACCATAGCAGCAAATGCCCAGCTTCTTCCTACTGAAGGTCCCTGCCCTCAGGGCTAGGGTGGATGGTGAGTGTGAAAGCTGGCATTTCTTTTTAAATGTCCTCTAACTCAGATGCTTTTAGAGTAGCCCTATATGTCCAATCACTTTCTAAAGGCTTTTTCTCATGCAAACACTGAAAACACTGCAAACCAGGAAAAAGTCTTGTTGTGAGGTTGGGTGTAAAGGGTATAGTGTTACACGATAGTAACAAAACTAATTGGTAGCTAGGTTTGCAGTATCCCACAAAAGGCAGAAAATAAATTGGAGCTGATTTGGTAGAAAATATCTCCTTTTCCAAAACTTGCTATATGGAATGAGGATGCCAGAGTTTCTTAGCGTCTTCAGTGTGACTGTTTCCTTCTAATCATGGCATGTTGACATTTCAACTCAGGAGCCTGGGAATGGAGGGACATTTGTAGACTCTGTAGCCATTTCCTAGAAACTTCTGAGTTCACCGTTGAATGGTAAAGTAGGATCTTTCCAATTTCCAGATTTATTTAATATATTTTACATCAAATTTTACATGAAAATGTTTCCATGGTAAAAATAAGCTTTACTGAACAAAATATATAAAATCCCACACATTTGCTTCCAATTATTTGTTACCTAATCCTTTGAATGCTAAGCCAAATCTGCATTCTGTGGTACAATTTAATGAAATGCTCTCTTCTGTTAACTACAGAACTACTATGCCCTCATTTCCTCACAGCCTCTTTTGGCTCTGCAGGCTGGATTCTGGATTGCATAACAGGGCCGAGGGGACCGTGGAGGCTCTGTGTTCACGGGCGTCCCTTCATCCAAAGGAGACTGTGGGTCAAGATCCCACGTGCTCTTCTGCACCCTCTCCAGGGCCACATCTCAGCCTCCTAACTTCAGGCAGATCGTTTCGTTTAACCATATAGATTTATTTAAAATAAACATTGGGTTCAAATAATGTCCCTGGTGTCAGTGTGAGTGCTATCTCTTTTCAAATGTAAAGAAAGTTGGTTTCTCTGGTTCTGAGTAGGAGCGAAGCCAGACGCTCTGGACCACAGAACGCCACGGCTGCCTCCAGGTCCTGGGGAGGATTTCTTTGCATCCATCTTTGGCTGCACTTTTTTTTGATGTCGTCTACGGCCAAGTTGTCATCCCCTGTCTCCCAGCAGTACATTTTCTCAGGCTACAGAGCTCTCATTAATGAGAGGGAGTCAATGCCTATTCCTATTTTGTTTTTTGGTTGTTGTTTTTATTTTTTGCTAAAAGAATTCTATGTTCAGAGCAAGCTTGTTAAGAAGATATGAACATTTCCAATTAATCAATCAATCTGCTTGATGTCAATTCAAAACACTCATGTCTTTAAAAAGACATTTTTGAGTGGTCTCTTTATTTCTGCGATACCTATTGTTATTATTATTTTTATTGATATGTATCAGGACTTTTGTTATTATGTTAGAAGGACAAAAATATTTAAAAAGATGCTGAGAAACACTGTCAATTTCCCAGTGCCTATAGATAGACATAGAGGCAGGTATAAGAGCTGATTTCCTAGTAGCACTTTACCCCAAGAAATGTAACATGATTCTACAATGTCTGTGCTGGAAAGTGATATATGGAATACTATGTTTGCTTTCTGTTAACTATAATAGCAATACAAATTACAGCAGGCTCTTTGCTTTTCTTTATTCAATTATTTAGCAGTAGATGGGATTTTGTTTTTTTAGCAGGAGATTTATTGGAAATTAAATAGCTATCTTAAAAATTTAGTAGTGATTTCAAAATAAGTAAATGATTTGTTGAGTTTTTTCTTTTAAGACTAAGAAGCATAAGAAGGAAATGAATCTCCTTAGTGTTCGTGAACGCTAACAGATATTTAGGCAGCTAACATTGAACACATTAACACAATACAATAAATTACAAATAAAAAACAATTTTTCTTGAAAATATGTCGTCATATCGTAGTGCTTCGTTATAAAATTCTGCAAAATGTATTTTCTCAGTACAAATGCGTCACATTTGTGGCTGGGCTTTGCTTAGTGGCAGTGGTCTAAATGGCGTTACCAAGATGATTGTGAGGTCAGGCTTTTAGAGAAGAGGAAAGGCATCTTGGTGCTTTAGGAATGTGCTAATTAATGGCGAACATTCTTCCAAAGAAACCTGAAATAACTCCTGACCCAGGAGATACTGCAATTTTATTTCTGCTACATAAACATTAAGAATATCTCATGGCTATATGAAGAATAATGAAAAGCTTGACAGTTCATCTCTCTATTTTAATCAACAAAGAGGCTTATAGGAAATAGATCTATAGTATATACTTTTCATTATGTTCCGCAACCTGTTTACCTCATGCAGCTCACGTTTTATGGGGAGCTATGGGAAGAACCAGTGTTATCATTATGACGCCGCTTTGTGAGGAAGATTCTTAGCTGTCTGTGTGCCTCTGATTGGCCCCCAGCTCCCCTCACCATCTGGAAGGCAGCATCCTGCCAGGGGGTGTCGGTGACGCTGCTCCAGTGTCTGGTAGATGTGGCTTGGGTTTCCTTTGATTATTGTGAGGAAGCTGGGGAATGACAGACTCATCTCAGCGACATCATTATCGACACAGATTGTAAAGTACAGAGCACCCAGGAACAGCAAATCTAGTCTCACATCTTAGGCAAAGGGAGAATCAACTTCAAAAATCAAGGGATCAATTTAATGAAGGCGTGGGGTGATTTAGGCAGAAGCACCATCAGCAGGTATTTTATAGCACAGCTCATTTGTCCTTCTAAGGGACCCTGTGAATTAGGTGTCAAAGGCATTGCTCATAACCATTGAAGACAGACACATTTAAAGACCAGCTGCCATCAGTATTAAATGAAAAAGAGTGCTTTAGGATAAAATTTCATTTTGTCTGTAAATTGATACTAAATGTTCTGGGCATTAATGCATGAAATGTCTTAAATATGTGAACATATTTATATGGAGGAAATGATTTTGTATTAATATATACATGCCTTACCTGCTTCGCTTCTGGTTGGCCAGGCTGATCCAAGGCCAAGGTGGATATAACCATAACTCTTATAAAGAAAGTACAATAGGTCACTATCCCTGTGAAGTCTACACTGTGCACAGTAGACTCTCGTTTCATTAATATTTTTATACACTTATTGTCAAGACATGTGGATTATTATAGTACACAAGGGCCTCTATGACCAATCTGTTACTTGCTGGTACTTCCTAGAACCTCTGCCAATCTTTTAGCCAGAGGATTCTTTCAGAAGCTCCTGTCAACTTACAATAGTTGATATTACAAACCTTTGATATCCTCAGCAGAATATCTGAGGAAATCTTTGTTGGCATCACTTATGCAGTACGCCCAAATCGATTTTCAAATCATGTTTCTCACATAAGCTATCTTGGCCAACATTTTTGAGGTGATCTAACATTATTTAGGAGTATTTTTGCTTCATCTAGTGTAGTTTGTCAATATTCTTAGAGCCACTTGGAAGTGCTCTGATCTTTGGTAGTTTTGAGTGGAATTGTTTATAGCTTATACTTTTTAGTTAGCCAATGGAAAGAGTAGTTAGAGATTAAAATGTTCAAAGGCTGAGCACGGTTGTTGTAAGTGCTGGCATTTTGTAATCCAATCCAATCAATTTCATTGGGTGAAAATACCATTAGAATAAAGACATAGGAACTACACAATAAAGTGGCAACAAAATTATTGTTTTATCAAAGATTACCAAAAATTGAAACATGAAAACTTTTTGAAATGTTTCTAAAGTGGTTATTGGACACTGAAACAAATGCAAAAGTACTTTTTCTTTCTTTTTTTCCGTTTTCTCTTTTATAAAAATAATTTCCATTTCTTTACTTATAACAGAATGTTATTCTTATAAAGTAAAATAAAAGTTTAAAGATTTAAGGATTACTATAGATACCAGTTAACAGTGATTAGGAGTTAAAGTAGCTGAAAAATGGCATTGGTAAATTTATTGGTGATTTTTTTAAAATGTCAGACTATGACAAAAACAAATCATCTGCTTAATATTGCAAAATTTTTATTAGAAGGATGTTGTCTTTGTTGCTTATAGTTTTTTTCTCTAGATAATAAGCTTCAATAATGTATTTATTCAATATTTTTGGTTATATGATAAAGAAAGTGATTTGCTTTTTATGAACTGCCTATGTTTAAGTACACGTTCTACCATTTGATAGCTGTGTGACCTTGAACAAAGTACACAAACTTTTATTCGCTATGTGGCTCAGTTTCTTCACCTGTAAAATTAGGATAATAGAAGTTCCTACCTATTCTGGTTCTTACCAGCATTCTATGAGTTAATATTCTTTTTTAAAATATATTGATTTTCCACAGAGAGGAAGGGAGAGGGATAGAGAGCCAGAAACATCGATGAGAGAGAAACATTGATCAGTGCAGGTTGCCTCCTGCACTCCCCACACTGGGGATGTGCCCGCAACCAAGGCACATGCCCCTGACTGGAACCGAACCTGGTACCCTTCAGTCCGCAGGCCAACACTCTACCCACTAAGCCAAACCGGTCACGGCAAGTTAATATTCTTAAAGTACACAAAGTAAGTCCCTTTGTGTTTGTTAAAGTAATAAATAATACAGGATAACTTGTTTGATTGTGCTTGTTTTATTGTACTCTGCAGATATTACTTTTTTTTTAATTGAAGTTTTGTGGGAACCCTATGTCAAGCAATCTATGGGTACCGTCTTTCCACAATCATTTGCTCACTTTTAGTAAGTCATGCAATATTTCAAACTTTTTTGTTATTATTATATTTGTTATGGTGATCTGTGATCAGTCATCTTTGATGCTACTGTTGTAACTGTTTTGGGTCACCACAGACCATGGCCATATAGGATGGTGATTTTAATAAATGTGTATGTTCTGACTGTTCCACTGATGGGCCGTTTCCCAATTCTCCCCCTCTGCTGGGCCTCCCTATTCCCTGAGACACAACAATATTGAAATTCGGCCAATTAAAAACTCTACAATGGCCTCTAAGTGCTCCCGTGAAAGGAAGAGCCCCAAGTCTTTCAATTTAAATCAAAAGCTAGAAATGATTAAGCTTAGTGAGGAAGGCATGTTGGACGCCAAGCCAGGCTCACAGCTCTTGAGCCAAACAGCTAAGCTGTGAATGCAAAGGAAAGGTCCTCCTAGGAAATTAAAAGTGCTACTCCAGAGAGCACACGAGCGATAAGAAACTGAAACAGCCCTGCTGCTGGTCTGGAGAAAGTGTTAGTGGTCTGGATAGAAGAGCAAATCAGCCACAACATCCCCTTCAGCCAAATCCTAATCCACAGCAAGGCCTTAACTCCTTTCAGTTCTTCTTTTCTCCACTTGAGAAAAGGTGACGGCTTGCTAGGCTCAGCGGATGGTGGTTAGCATTTTTTAGCAATAAAGCATTTTAAATTAAGGTATGTACATTGATTTTTTTAGCCACTATCTTATTGCACACTTAATAGACTATAGTATAGTGTGAACTTAACTCTTATGTGCACTGGAAAACAAAAAACTGTGTTACTCTCTTTATTGCGATACTCTATTGGCGGTGGTCTGCAACCAAACCCACAATATCTCAGAGATATGCCTGTATCTGTACATGTTTAACAAAATAACCTTTTCCCTTTGTCATTAATTTCTTCCTGCCTGCCCCCCTCCCTCCCTCTATGTTTTTCTCCCTTCCTACCTTCTCTCCCTTTTCCTATTCTTCCTCCTTTAAACACATCAGAAAGCCTCATTAAAATTTGCCTTGAGATCATTTTGTACTAGTTTATTGGCTAACATATATTTTATTGTTTTACATATGTTATCTCTTCTCTCTATTTTTGTGCTATAGATATGGTTTGGTATCATAGAGAAACACTGCTATCCGTGGAAATTAAGTGCAAAAGAATCTTCACTGAAAAGCCCAAGGTGTGTTTCCTAATGAAATCATCCTCGTGTAGCTAAGATGAGGAGAAAGGGAACCATTTGACATTTACTGACATTAGGAGCCAAAGCCCATTTTTCAGAGCGCGTTTGAAAGTAACGAAGCCCAGAGCTTCTTCATAAAGATAATGTGCTGGCATGATTAAGGGACTTTCCTTTGGGGACCTGATAATCATGATCGAAGGTCTGATGCCTCATTGAAAGCACTTCAGCTAGTACTTCCTTCCGATGCTGAATGTGTGCACCTTGGGATCCTATTAACACGAGTGTGAGTTAGATAGCCAGGCTGAAGTGTCAAGGTAAAGAAGAAGAAAAAGAAGAGACGATAAAAGGAAAGTGTGTTATTCCAGAAATCAGCAGTCTATGTACAGTACAGAAGGTGCATTTTAAAGATGGTTATGAAAGATGCGCGTTAGGTGGGTTGACACGTGGTAACTTGGGATGGGGATGGGGATGGAGGATACATAGTCTGAGAGGTTGGGGGCGGGTGATGCACGGAGTGGCTGGGCAGGGATGACAGTGGGGGCACTTAAGGAGCTGGGAAGTAGAGGCGCCAAAGGCAAACTTCCCAAGACCGCTCTGGCTCTGAGATGACTTCCTGGGCAACTCACACTTCAGGAAGTGCTTGACAGCAGCTTTACGGATTAGGATGTGTGGGACAGTGTTCTAAACTGTGCTTCAGGGAACAGGCGCTTGGTTAACTCCTGTTCACATTGGAGAGGGAACAGACTAAATTATACTGCCTCCGGGACAGTGCTTTCTATTCACTGGGCAGAGCGAAACACCCTGCCAGAGGCGCAGCTCTGGTCTCTGGGTCAGCTACAGAGCAAGTTTACTTTGCCTTGAGAATGCACTTGATCTACAAAACTGAAATTTCAAAACGACTTTACCGTTAAAGTCACCCTCAGTACTACCTCATTTCCTCTCTTAGGGCCCTCATTTAGACATGGAGGCATTTCCAGTTACTATTATGCAGGATGGTAAAATAAATAGGTCTCATTAATATCTCACCTGATCTTTATTCATATCCCCAAGTGTTCTCTGTCATTTCTAGTCTCTCATTACATATATTAGTGAATATTTATATATATCCAGGACTTGACGAAACCAAAAATATTTTATGGTACATTTATGATCCTTATATAATGTTTATTCATTTCTCTTATATACATCAAATTTGAGTTTCTTCTTTAAATATTTTCCCCGCTTTCTCTCTAAATAAATGTAGGCATTCATTACTTTTTTTCAGTCATCCATTTTTCAAATATTTATTATTACCTAAAATATGTCGAATGCTGCACCCGGAGATGAACAAAGGAGAATTTGTGCTTCTAGTTCAAAGTATGAGTGTCTATTTGGAGAGATAATAATCTGTGATGGGGTGCAAAGTTTTTAAAATTATTGATTGATATAGCAAAAGAAAGGTACATAAAAATAATATTGGATTAAGAGGATAAAAATATATTTAGTTATCTTAAAGGAGGGAGAAGATAAATTTAGAACAGCCTCCAAATTTAGGATATTCTCTTAATTTCAAATCTTTTTATTTAAAAAAGAATTTCAGTTAATTTGCATTCTTAAAAGGAAATTAAATATTAGAGATCTTTCCCTTCATTCTTTCTTACACTATTTAGTATATCTGTATTCTTTTTTATTATAATATTTGAGTGTATATATATATATATATATGTTAGTTAACATATATATACATATATGTAATAGTTAATAGTCTAATCAATCCAATATACAGCTTTAACAATGATAAATATATTGCTATTCTCTTTTGTCTATGTTCCTTTCCCTCAACACATTTTTCTATATCTCCCAACCATATTATTTTAAAGAAAATTCTAGGATCATATAACTTCTTATATAAATCTTAGGCTTGTATCTCTAAGAAAAAGGGATTTTCAACATCATCAGAAAACCATTATTATACCTATACAAGTACTAACTTAAAGCAAATGCAAAAATTATATAATTCCACTTATAAATATTTTGTATGTATTGCTAAGAGATAGGATTAAAAATGTAACAATATCACTATCAGGTGCCAAGCTGGCACAGCCATGGCATACACTCTCACAACTGGGCACCTTATGTGCTGAGCCAGCTCAGCCAAGTTTGGTGAGCCTGAGAGGGGGCGGTGAAGGATTGAGAAAAGACAGACAAGAGAATAAAAGCTGGGCCTGGGTGGGACTCTTTCCTCTCTGATGGAGAGCTAGTGACAGTGCCATAGCCTGAAAGCCGAGTCTTTATTTTATAGCCAGTTTCCACGAGGCAAAGTAAGGGTGTGGTCAAGATGTTTACAACATTCTCGTGGGTTTCTATCTTACTCAACTACATGCACCTGAACTCTATCAAGCCCTCATCACTCAGGCACGTGAGGCCACATGTTCGGACCATAGGTTCAAGCTTACAACTATAGCTGTTGGCTATAATTGTGCTTGGACTTGCATGTGGCCATGAGAGGACTATGCCCTTCCATTAGTCAGAGGCTTGAACCTGTCCAAACACTGTGGCCACTCTCCACACTATCACATCTAAAAACTAATTTTTGAATTATCTTTTAAAGTCAGGTCAGTGTTCAAATTTTCTTAATTGTCTCATAAAAGTCTTTTTTTGTAGTTACTTTGTTCTAATTAAGATCTAAAGACCCACAGTGCATTTGATTAATAGGTTTTGTAGGTCTATACCAGTTCCTTCCCCACCTCCCTCAATTTCCTTGTTGAAGAATCGGTATTCTTGTCTTTTAACATGTTCACTTGTGCTGTCTTTTAACATGTTCATTGGCCCTCTGCATTTCACTTATCATTGGACTTAGGGGCTTGTCCAAGTTTAGTTTTTTGGCAGTGATCGCCAGTCCATTCAGTCTGCTCCTCCTTCATCGGACTCAGAGCCAAATTCTCCAGTGTGAGCTGGAGGGCATGAAACTCCAGTCAGGTTTCAGAAGAAGTTCTGCTCTGTGGGTTCTGTACTGAGCCTGGCTTGGCCCTGAAAGTGGTCCCCACAGTCACATGCCTCACATGGGCCCAGCCCCAGGATGGAGGAAAGAGAAGCAGCTCCTAACTTCTTCGAGATGACCTTGTTGTAGCCCTTCAAAGAGGTGACCTTGGCAGCCAGTCTACTCTGCTCTGTGTTTATGGCCTCAGCCTACTATGACTTCCTTCCACCATTCTAGCAATTTTGTATGTATGAACATGCATACCCGTCCATGTTTGTTTTTTTTTTAAATAGTATTTGAAGAAGAAAGGGTGATTTATCTCTGAGCCTCTTGTCTTCTCTCTTCCTTTCAGTTGTATCTTTAAAAAATGCCTCTTGGATTTTGAAGCAGAACGTGATTTTACCTTGGTACAATAAAATAAAAAAATATTTGAAAACTCAAAAAATGGATAAAACTAGCTGAATACAGGAAAAGGAAATGTTATTCACTTTTTTGTGATTGTTTTTTCACATACATATTTGGAAGAATTGACAGGTTTATGACAAGATGTACCAACTTGAAGGTTGCTGTGGTGATTCTAGGTAGAAAGACTTCAATTGGAAGCTCATTGGAGTTGCTCATTGGAGGCTTTTATCTCCTTTCCCAAAGAGAATGTGTTTGTGTGTGTGTGTACAGAAGCTATTGGTGCTCTGACCACACTTCCTTGTTCCTTATCATTAAAGAGCACAGGAATCGGGGCCTGTCTGTGGAGCTAGAAAGAAGTGGGCATGGCAACCAACAATGCCTACGACAAACATATTACTGTTCCCAATGATGTCAGATTTAGCTATAATGAATCACTTGTGGTCACATATTTT